AAAGGAGGTTCGCGTGCGAGTGGCCTATTCCTCTACCTCCTTAGCTAAAATCCATCACTTAGCCATATTTCAACTATTTTCGCCGCAATCTTTTCCAAGCACTCTCGAACACATAGCTCACTCGATTTCACTCAATTTTTTTTTCGGCTCGGCTTTAACAAGTCGGTACTGCCAAACAGGTCGGCACGAGCTCTCTTTTCTATTTTTTTATATATAAAAAGAACAGAAAAGAAAAGAAAAGAACAAAGGCAAAAAGGAAAAAGAAAAGAACAAAAGCAAAAACATGGGTTGCCTTCCACGAAGCACTCGTTTTTACGTCGCGAGCTCAAATTTTTCGTCAATTCATAGTCAACCGGGCACGATTTGACGAGCTCCACATCCTCCGATCTCATTCTCATGCTCGTCAAAGAAGACATTTGCCCACTTACTTTTCGGGGGCACCAGGGGTTTTTTGGTCAACTTATCATCACACTCAACATAAACCCCTCTTTTCTTAAATTTTCACGAGTCAACACTCGATTCCTTCTCTGTTCCCATCGAGGCACCCCTCGAATTAGCATCATTACCCTTGGACTTCTTCTTCGAATCCTTCTTAGCTTCGTTTCCACCCAATTTCGACTCATTATCAACTTCAACATCACACTTTTTTTTCCAATCCTCCCATTTCACTCCAACTAATTCAACATTTTCATTCTTTCCGAACTCCAATACCTTGTTCTTTTTAATGGCATGATTGCAATTAGGAAACTTAGGATGAATGTCGGAATGTACCTCTTTGTGAGTGTCATCCATAAATGAGCATTGACCAACTTTGGGTGGAGCTTCTCGAGCATTGTTCACCATGAATGTGACCATCTCGCCATGAGCCTAAAGGGTCACCCGTCCATCCTTGACATCGATAAGTGTGTTGGTCATCGCCATGAAAGGTCGCCCAAGAAAGATCGTGTGCTAATTCTCGGTATTCAGGACATCTTATACGTCAAGGACCACGAAATCAACCGGCACAACAATAGACCCAACTTTGACCAATACATCTTCAATAAAGCCCTTCGGTTCTCTCAACGTACGATCTGATAGTTGTAGCCACATTCGAGTAGGCTTGAGTCCTTGCAATCCCAATTGCTTATAGATCGAATAAGGCATAAGATTAATATCGGCCCCCAAATCAAGCATCCCAGTCGTTGCCTTTCCATTCCCAAATGTGATCTTCATAACAAAAGCTCTCGGATTGCACTCTTTCCGAGGTATAGTGGTAGAGGCTACCTCGCAAATCATAACTTTCTCATTGTCCTCGAATCTCCACTTTTTCGATGCTAGATCCTTGAAGAATTGTATATGCGCCGGGATGTTTCGAATAACGTCTAGTAGTGGGGGAGATTCACGTTCACCTAAGAGAACATGTTGAAAAATATCCTTGAATTGACACTCTTTCTTTGTATCTTGCAAACGACTTGGATAGGGGATCGGTGGTCGATAAGGCGTAGCCGTCTTATGTAAGGTCTCATGGGCATCCTTCTCGTTCTCCTCATCAACAATGGCTTTGCCCTTCGAAACTTCAACTTTCTCGCTTAGTTCTTCTTCAACCTCTTCCTCGATAGTCTCCTTCACTTCATTTTCCTTGGTCAACTCCACGTGATAATCAACCTTCTCGCCACTTCTCAAAACCGTGATGGCATTGACATGCTTGGGTTGGCTCGAGAGCTTATCCTTCATCTTGCTCCTTTGAATTTCTTCTATCGATGTCTCGAGTTTCCCCACTTGCGTCTCGAGACATTTAAGAGAGGCTCGAATCGAGGGCACTCCTTTAACGATGTCGTGCAACGTAGAGACAGTTGGGGCCAATGATTGAAGACACTTCTTTAAGCTTTCACTTCGAGTATGCGAAGACTCACCTCTAACATCTTTCTCGGGCTCCGATGGAAGTGGAATTGGTTGCCTTGGGATAAAACCTCCACGCCCTTGTGGATATCCTTGAAATTCGGGCCTCGGTTGGTAGCCTTGGAACTCGGGCCTCGGTTGGTACGCCCGGTTTTGAGGAGGTGCATAAGCTTGAGGCGAGGCATAGGCTTGAGGCAGTGCCGGTTGTGGCGCATAATTCGCCTTTGGGTCCCTCCAAGAGAAGTTCGGATGATTCCTCTACCCGGGGTTGTAGATGTTCGAATAAGGATCATTTTGAACCCGAGGAGCATATCCTTGTACAGTTTTAACATCGAAAGGGACCGCTACAAGATTCGGGTCATAAGCCGGCTCTATATACCTCGGGCACTCATGGCCTCCGTGTCCCGTTTCTCCACAACAACCACATACCTCTGCCATCACTACTTGAGTCGACTTTGCATCCCGTAGACGAAGGTGCTTAAGTTCCTCTTCCAAAGAAGCTAACTTAGCAAGCACAACATAATTGGAAGAATCGGAAGATTGTGTAGCCTCATTCACGGGAGTCCTGTTGCGAACACTTCTCTTTTGGGAATTCTCACTCGACATTTTATACAACTCATAGATCTCCTCTTCCGTGTGGCTCCCGATGTCTCCCCCGGTCGCATGATCGACCATATATTGGAGAGTTTGATGTAAACCATCGTAGAAAAATTGATTTAGCACCCCGTGGCAAAAGTGGTGGTGCGGGCATTGGAGTTGGTACCACTTAAACTGCTCCCATGCCTCGTGAAAGGTTTCGCTTGGATTTTGGCTAAAGCTAGCCATTTTAGCTCGAAGGTCGGTGGTCTTTTGATGTGAATAATACTTTCCCATAAACTTTTAGTAGAGGACTTCCCAATTAGTTAGCGAGTTTAGGAGCAATGTCATGAACCAAGTCTTGGCTCGATCCTTCAAAGTGTAGGGAAAGCATCTCATACGAAGTTGGTTTTCATTTAGGCCTTAAAGGGGAAACGCGTTGAATGTGGAGTAGAACTCGCGAATGAAGTTGAGAACGTCCTCTTGTGGTAGGCCATTGAACAAAGAGAGTTGATTTAGGTGAATCGTCTTGAGATCATAATTCCAGGCCGTCTCTCCGAGCACGAGGCATGAGGTGTTGTCTCCAATAATCGGTCGAGCAAAGTACCTCATGTTTGGAGGCGATGGTTGAGGCAATTGTTCTACTTGGTCCGCCATCAGTTCGGGTTCGGGTTGTGGTTCGTCTATGTTAATCTCAACGTAGAGATCGATTGGTGGTGTCTCCTCTCGGGGTCCACGTCTTAGTCTACCTCGCATAAACACAAACAAGCAATTATACCCGTGAACGCACTAATGGGAAAAAAGAGCAAAAACACAATCAACAACACAATCTAACTACAAAAAGCTAGAGAAATCAAGAGAAATACGTAAATTAATCAAAGGATCACACAAATCAAGAGAAACACATGAAAAAGGGACAACCAAATAGCAAACTAGGCATTCTACTTGCCATCCCCGGCAACGACGCCATTTTGTTTGTAGGTGTTTAGCCGAGTATGATCAAAATATCGACCTCAGGTCGTGTCTCTGGAGGAATGTTATTACTATCTAGTCGTCAATTCACATAACCAAAAAGGTTCTAAACATGCTACTCGCTTGATGGGATTGGATTGCACGAAATGAATCTAAGAATCTAAGAGCCAATGATGAAAGATGCAAGACTAGGGAGAAAGATCGAATCTTTGGTTGCATGGAGTATCCATAACACAAGAAAATGAAAACAAACAAGAGAAAACATGCGAGCAAAGTGATCCTAGGTAATCTAATATGAGCTTTCTACACTAAATCATCACGCTTCGAATGAAGTCGTGACCTTTATACAAGATAAAAACGCAATAAATTCCTAACAAACGTAAGCAAGTAATGAAAATAAAGTAAAGACCTAGAATCGAACATAGACACAAAATTCGAAAAACAAACTCGAAGTAATAAGCACTAAGAAAGGTACTTACTCTCCTATCGTATTCCCGAACGAAATTAGCGCGTAATACTCGAGTCTTGATCAAAAATAAAATTGCTGGATTTCACCGGAACAATTGAGTCATGAATCTCCAAACCAAAGCATAAAAATAAAAGAGAGAAAATAGAGAGGATTTTCCACCTTAAAAGTTTGGAAATGAGGGTTGATGTCCAAAAATACAAAGCACATTGTCTATTTATAGCTACACCACAAACACAACTAAAAACACACACATTTAATGAATTCTTCAGTCCGCGGGTCTCGAAACACGGTTCGCTATGAGTGTGGGAGTGAAATGGTGCAGACACGGGCGTTCGCGGGTGGCCCTTGGGGTTTCGCTTCGAGTGCCGACAGCTTGGTGGTGCTCGAGTGCGTTTCGCGGATCGCGAAGAGGATCTCGCTGCGAGTGGTCTGGCAGCTTGGTCCATGGGCGCGCGATTCGCCGGTCGCGATCTTGGGCTCACTGCGAGTGGGCGTCTGGCGCTGGTGAAGGNCAGACCGGGTCCCGGCCCGTGACAGCTCGGGTGGCTCGAACGGCTCGGTCGGCTCGGACGACCAGTTTTCTCAAGCTCAACAAAATAGACCTAATCAACACCAAAAAGACAAGAAAAATACGGCAAAACACAAAAACACATAACGAACGCAAAAATACACGAAATATGATAAAATAGACCTATCAACACCAAAACAAACCTAAAATGACTCGACTAAGGCACATAAAACACACGAAAATAAGCACAAAAACACAATAGACACATTCTTGTATAATAATCTAAACTTACATTATCATAATCAGATACATGTCCAAAATTTGGGTAAATAGGATTGTATTTGTCTACTCATTAAATCATGTAACAGGGATGGATAAAGATGTATAATCTTATTTTATAGTAACAATCTGGTTCTCACCCAACAAACGATTACCTATATCTAGCAAGATGAAATCACGACAATTAACAAGCTACTAACGATTTTCATAATCTAGCTGATATATGGGCTTATAAGGGTGATTGCTCTTGTCCTAAAGACATATAAGCTCGTGAAGGAAAAACAGTACATAAACTTTCACTAGTCGAAAGGAAATGCAATGATGTTGAAAGTATTGTTATTGTGTCTGTTGCTTCATTGGAGCTCGGCCCACTCAACAAAATATACTGTCGGAGACTCTAAGGGCTGGACCTACAATATATCTGGCTGGGAAAATGGCAAGTGCTTCAAGTCTGGTGACACTCTAGGTAATATCAAGAAAAAAATTGAGTTGTTCATCTACAAATTCCGTTTTATTTTCATATGATCTAACTTTTTTATTTTAATTGCAAATTAACTAACTTTTAGTGTTTATGAGTAATTGATGTGTGGTTTATTTTTGCAATTATTGGGTCCTAAGCTACATTATTTTTTAGTTAATGATTAGTTTATAAATGATTTATGTATGATACTTTTCTAATGTCGTATTTTGGAAAAAAAATAAAAATAAACAGAAACTAATAATATCAGCTAATGCACTCAACTTCAATTTTGAAAAAAAAAATTAAGGAAAAAGAAAAAATATCAACAATGTAATATTGTAATTTATTAATAATTTTCAATTTTTTTGTTATACTTAATATTTGTTTATTAATATTGTTTATATTAATTGACCACTTATGTAAGTTTTGGTTCACTAATTGTCTAACAAATCTGTAAATTCAGTTTTCAAGTATGCCGCAGCTTATCACAATGTTGTAGTTGTCGACAAGTCGAGTTATGATTCTTGCATCTTGCCATCAAAGGCCAAGACGTATAATTCTGGTAATGATAAGTTGAGGCTAACAAAAGGGCCTAATTATTTCATTTGTGGGATTCATGGACATTGTCAAGCTGGAATGAAGATAGCTGCTAATGCTGCTTAAACTCGGACTCTCAATAATTGTAATTTTGATTAATAATAATGTGATGAGTTTATCCTTATATGAGTATAAAACTATAAATATAGCTTTTGACAATACTCATTTGTTTTTGGGATAAAATTAAGCTATGAGAAATCAATAATATCACATTTCGTTGACTTTTCTTCCAAATTTATTATTATTTTTAGTTATTTCTGAAAATTAGACAATCAAATATTTCGATAGAAAAAAAAAACAAGCAAAATATTACTTTGACACAATGTTCTAAAATGTGTATCTATGTTGGAAGCCACTTTAGCACTTTGTTATATAATATTAATGATAGCACCAACTACTTATACTTTGAAACTGTCTGATTTTCAGAAAGAGTTTCGAATTTTTCGAAAACAATTTAACTTTTGCAACTCAACTTAGGGTACTTACTAAATGTCCTGCTTAACTCTTTATTTTACAAAAATTGCTTTTCTTTTCGGACCTCAAATTAAATTAGCTAACTCGAGTACTTATGGGAACTTGCTTCCTAGCAACAAACTCAACTTTTCAAACTCAAATATAAAGCATATCAAAAGCATCCAAACCAAGTCTCAAACGTTTAAAAAAAAAAAAANNNNTAAAAAAAAAAAAAAACAAGTTCGGAATGTTTAAGCGAAAGCATAAAACTGCAATATATGAAAATGGCCACCACTGCCTCTCGTCTGGTGCCATTTATTTAACCTGAAAATGATAATTGTTGGGGGGTGAGCAAAACAACTATCTCACCATGGTAATCTATATTATGCGGTTATTCATGATAATTACCATAATCTCAGTATATAAATGAATAAACTGGTCTGAACTAAACTCATCCGTCGGATACACGGGACGCTCTCCGCTCGACAACGGAAGACTATCTCATGTGCACACTTTTACTATCGGATACACGGGACGCTTCCCGCTCGACAACGGGAAATCTAACTAATGCCTATGCTTAGGCAAATACTCACAAACAACAAATACTCACAAACAGAAAATCCGCACCTTAACTGCCGACTGACTGACTGAATGAAAATACACGTGCGTCTGATGTGAGGGTTTGAATCCTCTTAATCTACAATTTATAAATATTATCTTAATTATTAAGGGGGTGACAAACAGACAAATCATATAGGTAAGGGCAATTAAAAACACAAGCACAAAACACTTCTAACTCTTGTCTCGACTTAACTAAGCTCGTCTAGAGTTCTCGAATAATTCTAACATAGGCTCAAAAAATCTAATTTTATAGACTGGCTTGAACCGGCCGGTCCATACCCGGTCAGACTAGGTTTGGCTCGCTAGACCGCTCGGGTCGACCTGGTTGTGGCTGCCGTGTTCGCGTTCGCTGGCTAGGGCGCGCATGCTGGCTATATCGCTGCTAGCCTAGGTGCCCTGGCGCGCACAGGCTACAACATAACTCGGTCTAGGCACTGGTAGGTGGCAGGGCACGCACAGGCGACGACAAATAACTCGGTCTGGCCATTAGCAGGCGGTAGGGCACTCACGGTGTTGAAGAAACAGGCGCATGGGCGTTGTTGGTTGCGGGTGTGCACGACTTGCTGGTGCAGGCACGCTGGCGCTGAGGTATGGCGCAGGGGCTGCAGTGGACAACGCACAGGCACTGAGGTGAGGCTCAGGGGCGCGCTGCAATGAATGGTGCATGGGTGCTGTGACGGCACGACGCACGGGCGCACAATGGTGTCTGTGGAGTATGCGGCGTGCTGCGGGAGTCAGGGAGTCGCTTGTGGGCATCTGCGAGGTGTACAACTTGTTGCGGGTCACTGTGGGCGTTTGCCGGCAGGGGCTAACTTCGACCGTTTTTGCCGGGCGGCGGTGAACTTTTTCCGGCGAACCATGGGTCTATCTGAAGCTTATGACATGGGGTTTCTAACCATATTAAAGCTCGGGTAAAAAGGCACCTATACTAAGGCCAAAGTATCCTCTCTTTTTTCTACTCAAAAACCAACCCACATCAAGCCAAATAAAATCTGAACCAAACTCTGAAAAATCTACACATATACAGCATATAAAAGGAACTCAAAGGCTCATCGATTTCATTGTAAGAACATGGCAAAAACAACACATAACCAACTAGGAATTTAAAACACAAAACATGCTCTTCTCTTTGCTTAACTTTCTTATATGCTAACAAGCTTCTCAACACATCTAACTCAGCTCATAATCTCTGAAATAAAGGGCATGTTGACCGCAAATTCAACAATAACGAAACTCATAACCATGTTCAAAGAATAAGGCCAAAGAACAAACATATCCTGCTCTATTTTTCTACACAATTTAACCACTCCTTAACACTTCAATAAGGTACACTCCCCCTATAAAGGGGGGCTAAGGTATCTCATTCTCTCACTCCCTCCGCATTCATAACTATACTAATGGGATTTAGAGCAATACTGACTTGAGCGTCGGAGGCCTGACGCCGGGACCCCTCCCCAAGTTGGTTCTTGCAGGTCCGGTGGCTGTTCGAGTTGAAGGAGCCCGGGTGAAATCAATATTAATTTCATATCAATGAAATATTTATAATGTGAATTTTGTATTTTTACATAAGTAGCAATGAAACTACTTGTGATGTGACTTGTCGTTATTTGAGAGCTTAGGAAACAACTATCCACCTTTGATCAATGTTGAACTCTAGTGGTATAGAGTTAGATTTTGACTTTAGAGGTTTCTCGTTGTGAATTCTCGATACGTCGTTATGAAGTTAAGTTCTGTCCAGAGCATCTTCTCGCTATAAGACTCTATTCAGTGTCCTCGAGTAAGGACCATTCGCGAGCCATCTTGAAAGAGAAGGCTTAAATGGAGGGAACAGACGATCGAAGAAATCCCAGGTGTATGGATTACTCGGAAGTCTGTAACCATACTACCCAGTCAATGAAAACTGGGAGTGAAATCTAGTGTGTGGCACTGTCGCAACTCTCAAGGACGGTTAAGCCTCGAGAAGGGCGATGGTTACCAATTCTTGTGCGAAACTCGAGCGGAAGTCATGAAGACTGATGCTTGGGTGAAAGTCTACGACATTGCTCGTGGAACGAGTGGACCGATCTGACACCGCGTGAATAACTTATGCCATGATTACAAGACACGCGATTGTGATGAGAATAGAAAGGTATGTATGTGTGTTGATATGCATGCTGTTGTTGCACTATATGGCTGAGATTTAATGCGTGTGTATTTTGTTGTTATGAGTTTCATGTAGTTGGATGTTGAAGTCCTATTCAAGCATGTTAATCGTGAAACTCTCATATATTTATGTGTGTAATAAAGAGGTTACAAGGTGTTTATGATGATATTTAAAGTGTTAAACGAGTGCTTATGGCATAGAGAATTTTTATTGACAAAGTTACATTGACAGTTGCAAAATAAAACGTGAATTTATTGCTCTGTTGTACTGCTAACAATGGCATGAAACTCTCGTTTTCTGAAGCTGTGTTCTTCATACAATATGTAGTTCATTCTGTTGTGGTTTTGTGAGTTTTCGAATTTTGAAAATCCGATTTGAAACGAATGAGTTATGATTTTTACAAAATATTGCGCGAGCAGTTTTAAACAAAACCCGGCAGCAAGTTCATGTGAAATGTTTGACCTGTTTGTTGCATCTTATTGTGCTCAAATGGAAATGTGATCTTCATAAACGTTGTAGGTATATTTCTAAGATTTCTAATGAGGTAAAATTCATGCAGATATGAGGACTGTAGCTCGGTTTGTGTTAAATTGAAGTAGGATATGCATGCAGTGTGCTTATACTTTTGGACAGAAACTGTAATGTGATTATAATTGATTTTGCCCATCTGTAATGTCCTTACCTACTTCAGTGTTCTAAATGATAGTTGTAGGACGGTCTCTTAGGCTTCTAAGAAGGTATGAATCATGTCAATATAATAAGTGTAGCATGACATGTGATCTTTTTAAAAATGTTGTGCAAGCAGTTTTTTCTGAAAATCGGGTTGTGTATATGATATTGATGGTTGGTTGCAATTGATGTTCTAACATGCTCAAGTGGGAAAGTAGTCTTCATGAAAATTTTTTCTATGCTTCTTGGTTGTTCATAGGTTTTTGAATCATGTCTTTTGGAAGTCTGTAGCATGATTTAGGTTATAAATATTGAAGTGCTATTAGTAAACCGAATCAAATTCTGACAGATTTTATGACCTGAATGTTTTATGTTTAGAACTATTGATAATGTCTTTATTTTCCATTGTGGTCTTCAGAAAAGTTGTAGATATTTGAGTTAGCTACATTTTTGTTTTTGAATCTCCTTGATAGCATGTCTGTAGCTTCATTTGTATTGAAAATACTGAGGTCTTGTCAGTAAATTGTTTTCAGTTTTTTTAACAGCAATTATGTTTCATATGTTTGATGATTTATGACCTGCTAAATGCCATTATTTATTTTTGATGTCTTCATAAGAATTGTATAGGCATGTCTTAGGATTCATATTCAACTGGATTCGGGTTTATATGAATTATGTGTTGCATTTGGTGTCGATTTTAAAATCGCTGCATTATAATATTTTTGCCAAATTGAGTTGTGAATTTAGCTTTTCGTCAATTTTCATGTTTATGTTCCCTATGTGACTTAATCTGATTGGTGTTGTAATGTTGGCTGGAAACACTTACGAGAGAAGCTTTACGCTAAGACCTCTAAGTGTGGAAGCTATAGGCTGTGTATGTGGTTGAACTCGTTTAGGACTGCCGACACGATTAGCTACCTGAGAAAAAGCTATCGTGACGGCCGACATTGTTTGTCAGAAAGGTCAAGCGAACTAACCATTCTAATGTTCGGCGATGACCGCCGAGTTAGGATTTTTTCGGGCAGTGATGCAAATGTTCGATTCCTAAGGGGAATTGTAGCTCAACAGTGTTGCTTAAACTGTTGTGGTTTGGGAAGTCTTGTAAGGAAACCTTTTCCTATATGAGTACCTAGGAGATTTTGAACCCGAAAATTGAAACTTCTGGTATGTACATTAAACT